CCTTCTTACGAGAATATTTTGTAACTTTTTTTAATCCCCACACGTGTTGCTGCGACAAAGATGCGTAATGGTGATGGGGCTTTTGTTAAAAGTGATACTGATAAATCGTAGATAGATGGATAAGTCTCCTAGTCAGTTGTCTTCTTGATATCAACCGATAAAACGAGACAACGATATTTCGAACTAAAGATAATAATCGAATTTCTAGAGAGGAAGGAGAGAAATGTGTAATATCGAACCAGTGGAAATAGCTCTCGGCAGAGGACAATAACCGGAAATCGTTCGATTCATTCGTTTTATGCTTTTTACGGCAGGATGCTCGATCAGTTTAAAGTCGATAATAAAACCCGCGCCCAGTCTCTTTTTCAGGAAAAATTCGTTGATGTTGTAGGAGAGCGAGAGTATAACGCGAACAACGAAGGATATATCTATACCTACTCGGTTCTATACCAGAGTAGAGTCCACCTACCGTGGACATTCGCGCTCGTTAGGTGTAATTACACAATGACGAGCAACGCGATAAAGTTTACTCGATGATCACCGCGGAAGCACGTTCACACGTTTTTCCTCCTCGACCAAATGCTTTTATTTATTTTTACCTTTTTTACCTTTTTCCTCTCTCTCTCTCTCTCTCTCTCTCTCTCTCTCTCTCTCTCTCACTCTAATCCTTTTCAGAGATCCAGGAACCGCGTGTTTGCAACTAGTGCCGCAAACTCCATTACTTATGGTTTCTATAAATATTAGCTGAATCATTAAAGACGGTTCAGGGTTCAGTGGAACGATGACGTCATTGGGTGAGAATTGGTTCAACAAGCAACGACCGCAGCGCACTCGTCTCCGTAAAGTGCCTTTCGTCTTCCCGAGAACGGTCTTCCCAAACGGTCTTTCACTATCTCTCCATCTCTTCCCTTCCTTCCTCCCACCCACAACTTTTTTCCTCTCCCATCTTTCCCGATTTTTTTCCTTCTTTGTCTTAACTCGTTTCAACTCTCGTTGGGTCGTTGCGCGAGTACCGATGGCTACTAACTCGACAGGAATGTTTATGGTTAAGCCAGATGTCTAGTAGCTTTGGCATTGATGCATCGCCCTTTTTCTTAGCACCTCTTTTTTTTCTATCCGTCTATCCCTCTCTTTCGGCATCGAAAAACTAACGTCGATGACTACTATGGGCCTCGAAGATTAAAGGGAATTAATATGGCTATCCATCTATCGAGGAAATACGTAGCGAAGACGAGATACAAAAAAAGATAACAATCCGTAGAGTAATTATCAAAGATAAGCTAACAAAAGAACTCTGTAACACAGCTTGAAAATATTTTCGTGATTGATTCGAAACACTTATTACGACAACAATTAGACCAATTGAAACCTACGTTACATTAGCACACATCCGTAATACAATGGGTGTATTGTAAGTGAAGGAAGACGATCGCGTTTTCCGAGTCTTGCGAATAATGCGAACGGATGCCCTAAGGAGACGGCAGGCATCTTGCTGTTTCTCCATTACGCCTGGAATTTGATTCGAGCTTGCAATGACATTCCACCGAGCTGATATAAACCTCGACTTCCATGAACAGATCCAACCGCGACGAATATCGAGGCCGTAAAACGCTAGCGATTTGATTTACAGGAAGAAAATACGGGATGATGATCGTGTAAAACTGCGATATAATAAATGTTAGACGCGGTTTTCCTACCTTCTATTAATATTACACAAAGAAGACTGGCAAATACTGAAAATAGAAAGACAAATAATCTCGATTTAATGAAATAAAGTTTGAGATGAAAGGAAATCCTCCTTAGTTTATACATTTTCTTACACGGTGCATTTATTTGACCAAAGCCAATATAAGGGGCTTTTATATATCCTACATATGTATTTCCGAGTCGAGTGTCGATCTCTTCCTTTAAGATCGTGAAGATTTATAAATGAACGGAACGTGACGTCAAACGCGATAGCTATTTTTTCTCTTTCTTCAACGTTCCTGTCTTATATAGAGATAATTTGATATTTGTGGGTGACGAGAACGATTGAATGCAATTAAACGTCCGTCGTAAACTAACCGGCTCATTTCTAACAGCAACTACTTTCAAATTATTACATTTGAAAGGAAATAATTGTTTGATTGTCTCCGTAGTAATTAATTGTGGGGTAAGAGCATTGAGAAGTCAATAATAAATAGTAGAATAAAGGAGTAATTAAAGGAAAGATAATAAAATTCCGTTTATTGCAATGGGAAAAGCTCTATTATCGTTAAAGAAAAATATGATTAAGTATTTTAGAGAAAATAAGCAATATCTAGGGACTCGAGATGCCATTCCGATTCTCGTTTGTCTGCCTGCCTACCACTGTCCAATATCGATGGAATATTTAGCGAGCTAGCAAGCTTAAGGGAGGAGCATTTTCTGCATGTCAGTCACGTGCCTTTCAACATCCGGTCATAGTTTCCTGCCTAAGCGCGTCTCCCACCTCCAGGAGTAGTAGAATATGGCGCTTATTTTTGTATTTCGTTCGATCCTCCTCTCGTTACTACGTTACTAACTCGAATAATAGATATTTTTCATCTTGATTCGTCGCGTTCGAGAATACGAACAATTCTCGGGCTACCTATCGACTCTCACGAAAATGATTAAACAAATATCTGCACGAATGTCTCAACAATCGATCCTTTTATCGATCCCCCTCCCCCTCCCCCCCCAATACGAATATCTATAACGATTTGAATTTTGATTTGAAATTAATCGGGATTGCCTCGCGTAATCCGGTTTTAAACGATTCCATCTCAACTCCGCCGACAAACGAGATTTCAATAGTGTGCGGCGTTTCCCTAGACGAATTCCAAGTCGCGAACCACTAGGCGTGGTATCAATTATCCGCTACATTTTTTTCCCCGAGTTTCAACAACATTCGCTTGGTATTAACAAGAAGATTATCGACTATATTCTCTTTTACATTTGGTCTCGCGTAGGCGTGTTTAAGCTTTTAGAAAGTAAAACTTGAAAACTCGAAAAAACGCTACCTTAATCTTCTAACGTTTCTAACTTTTTTCGGATTACTCCCGTCGTTAGGGTAACACTGTTCGACGATCTCTCAGATCGTTTAACTCGGCAAAAGTAATGCATTTCGACAACGACAAAAAAAAAAAGAAAAAGGAACAAAAATATGCGAGTATCGCAATGACCCATTTTTTTTCATTTTCTATATCTACCGTTTCCATCGCAGTCTTTTTACAAACGTGTATTATACGTTCGTTCAACAGCGATATCATTTAACCTCCTATGTTATAAAACACGTTTATTGACTAATGTAAGTATCACTCGATGATAACGATGCCCCCGTACAACCGGGGCATCACTCGTCTTTATTCTATCGCCAAGGATTTGCTTAAAAATATTTTCCACATATAATATTATTTGCAATTTATCTCTCATCCTACACAAGATTTTATTCATGAGTAAAGTTTGCACAGAAAACGAATAAGAGTGTCATTTAAAACTATTGGTATCGTGTGTTTAAAATAAAGTAAGTCAATTAAAATTCGTTTTTCGATTATCGCCCAGTGAAAATGCATAAAAATATACAAACCGTATACGAAACATACATAACATACAAAATATGCAATTGCATTAAACTATTCCTTTAGAAAATCATATAAACAATAATAAACAATGAAAGAATTTTAAGTGACTTTCGTAGTTAACAATAATCCAGTCTAAAAATAAAATTCAAACTTATATTCCGTGCTTTTAAACTACAATATATATTTTCTTAAATTAATTAACAATCATTAAAAGGTATATCGAACACTCGAATATATTCTACTAATATTTTTCAATTATTTCAACTAAAATACATTTTTTGTTAACGTTATTAGCCAGTAATGGCTTCGAATTCAATGTGATTATCTAAAAAAAAACATATTAGATCAAAATTATTTTATATTCAAAGTATATAAATATATGTGTCATTTTTAACACAAATGTACTCTGTATTATTTTAACTTTAATCTAGATACACGATATGATATGTTAAAATGCTTTTTCTCTAAACGATCTTTGCCCGTTTATTCTTTCCTTCTCCCTTAATGTATGAAAACATACCTACTTTTTTTTCATATACCATACCTTCGTGCAGAAATAATGATAGCTCGCATGCAAATATATTATACATAAAATTTCTATTAAAGTACATACGTGGCGATCTCTTCAAAAATTCGGATAAAAGCGAAATGAAAGAGAAAGGGGAAAGAAAAAGATTCGGTTGATGTCAGGTAGGTATTACAAAATAGAATGCACGTTCAACGTCGATGCCCAAATACGGAGAGGAGTAATCGACGTAACACAACTTCCAGTTGTGTATGTACAGTTGTATGTACAGTTGTATATAAGGTAGATTGTGAAATGTTCTCTTACCTGATTTTCGATACGTTTACTTTGATTTTTCAATAACCGTTTCGTTATCCACCGCCACGAAGATCCTGGAGAATTTTCACTTTCGCGGGACAAAGCGAGCCTCGAACGAACACTTTCGAATGGTCCTCGAATATCGATGACGAAACGAACCGAGTGTAAAAAATGCTTTAACGCGGTTGCAACAGATATCGCCATTTTCCAGGTACGCTCGCGACCTTATAGCGATACTAATGCCATCTATGCAGACACGCTAAATAACTAACCATTAGTTGGTATATCTAAATTATACCTAAATTTTAAAAAATATACGAACAATATTTGTTTTGATCGTTTAAATCAAAGAATACAGAAGTACATTTGTTATAACCGGGACCACCAGTGGGCGATAGCATGTAGAATATTGTATCTTTGATAGTATTTATACCGTCATCGCGTTAAGAGTATACTGTCGCTTACAGGTGCTCCCGGTTCTAACAAAATTGAAACTGGGTAGAAAAAAAAGGGACTTGTGGAATTTTTATATACTTCTGTATTCTTTGGTTTAAACAAAGGTACAAAATATCACCGTTTCTCTCATTAAATAATCTAATTTATTCGTTTCGAATCAATAGGGTTCATTCGAGTTGACATATTGTTAAATTTTCCTCCAGTTCGGTAGATAAAATCAAATTCGTTTGTTATCATTAGATTTTGAACTCAAACTCGTTAGAAAAAAACTGGTGCGTGTACTTATGTACGCACGCAAGAAGTTATACTTCTTTAGCGTAACAAAACATTTTTTTCGCAGCCTACAACGTTCCGCATTAATTTGCGTTTTGTTTTCCTTATTCTTCTCCCTTAGAAAACGATATTTTTTACATATCTCTGCATTAGTTTTAGGCATCTCGAAAACATAACCAAATGACTTCATGCGTCAACGGACATGGCGCGGTCCTGCTCTATCATTTAAGTCAAGCAACGCTTTGAGTACGATTACAACTTGGATAGGTGACCGCTTGAGAAAAAAAAGAGAGGAAGAAGACGAGAGAAGAAGATTCATGCCGTACATTTGAAATCGCTTTGCCCGCTCATCGTTAATATCAAAAACTTTGTGGTGTCGATTTTTCGGTCGCATCGTCAAATTCACTCTCATCACTTTATCCCACTTATCCGCTAAAAGAGGTATAAATTCAATAATAAATATAAGTAAAGTTAATATGTTAACGAAACGAAATAAAAATAAATTTCGCGCTTGATGAAATAAATAATGAATTAAACATATAATTTGAACACAGATATTGAACCAATTCGCTTTTCTTAGCATTCCCTCGGGTAATATTTGCATCCGAACAAATGCCGAATGTAAGTTTCCCTGCCATCTGTTGGAAGTTACGGTACTAGACCGCATTTTTCCTCATGTGTCGCGCGCTTTCATGTTTCCGAACGTTTATACCGGTGCATTTTGTTTCCTCGTAGTATTTTTTCATGTGGAAGATACAATATTAAAAGTGCAAACATGGGTGTGACAGTGTAAGTTAATTATACTTATGCATATCTTACTGGATATACAATCTGTTCTTTTGTATATTTCTTTAATTACTTGCTGTATCCCTTTCCCTAAGGTTTAATGTCGTAGAGGTTATGTCTTCATAATATATTACACATGTCGATCTTTCTCGAATTTGAATAGACGATTAATTTAGTAGAGTAATTTCGTATGTTTCTAACCGCGAGGAAATAAGTTCGATATAATTTCAATTGCAAGCATGGTAGCTAATCTTTCGTTTGCTATTCTCAGCCTGCAGCAATTTCCGATGACGGAAAACAGAACGGGACCGCAGACAATAGAGTTTTTGACAAAAAGGATAGTTGCTCTTGGAGCCGTACAATCTGGACAATTTCTCGTCGATTGTGAAACTTACATGTCGGTACCACAATTGGGTAAGCTCTATTTATTACCTTATATCCTCAATTTTTGAATTCAATTAATCACCCGCCAAAATAGCGGATAATATAGTATAAATTTTAACGTACAGATGGCTGCCCTTAAGTTAAACAGTCAACGGTATATATTACATAATATATTATTTGTCATAGATAAAGAGGAAAAACAATAAATGATTGAAGAATATGTCCTACACACGCGATAAGTGAACTAATATGTCTATAATTAGCAGAAACTCTTAACCATAAAGATAAATTTATATTTTGACAGAAAAATGACGAGAAATAAATATTTTCGCGTATTTAACATTCTTGTTATCTTACAAACATTAAGATACAATTTGGAATATTTCTAACAAATTTTATCATTCCTTTGTCACTGAAACTCGTATGTTTAATTGCTTTAAATATCGAGGAAGGAAAAATATAGTTAAGGAAAAATAAGATAAATATGCGTTATCGGTTATGCTCGTTTCTTATTTTGGCATTTATAATAAGTGTATATGATTTCTCTATATAAACACGTAATATGTTGGTTCCACCAAAGGCCATTAGCGATCCTATATCCAACTTTATCGTTTATTTTTCTGAATAATCTTCCAGAGAATGTTTGCTCGTAGAAACGCCAACTAACTTTCTAACCGAATTCTTGCTTAAGTACATACATATTTATACGCAACGTAAACGCATATCCTTCAGCCGTACCGATTTTAGAAGTGTCTCCTACGTTACACAACAGGATCAATCATTCGTGTTTGTTTTTTGTGCAATATCTGACCTCTTACTATATTATTCCTTACGTACGATCGTTTAACTCAAAAATCAATTCAAATATATTTCTTACGATAAATATAACTAATAGTACTGGCTTTTATCTCTAAAGTCTAACGAGACTTCAACGAGATTAGAAAGAAATACAAGTATTTCGTACAACCGTAATAAAGGAAAGCAAATAAAAGAAAGACAACAAATTCTAAGCACGATTAGAGACATCTTCTAATTCAATGATCGGAGTTAAAGTTCGCACACTGCTTTTATTCTTATTTCCGTCGAATGTGTCTTTATACGTGTGTATGTGGGTTTGTGTCTGTGTGTGCGTACACGCGCGCAACTTTTCACCACTCGTACTCGCTTTGCTCACATTCGAGACTCGCACGTTTCGTTTCTAAACGGACACGACGATTTCTGTCCTTTCTTTTAGGTTTAAACACGTTTTTATTCTATTAAGGTATAAACAAACTACATCTAGGCGTCATTACAAAAATATTAAATCTAGCAAGCGAAGCTAGGCGTGTACCCTTTTTTAAGTAAAATTTCATATATGTTTTCTGGTTTTTTTTGGAAAATACCACCCCTCGGTTATCACTTTGTTTTTTTTTTCTTCAACAGCTTATAATATAAACGCATGTATTTATATATTTATACTTTATATGTATATGTATATGTTACGGTCAATGTGTTTAACGTGAGCATTGTTTCAAATGATCGCACACTGTGTAGAATGCCTAATTTTTTGTATAATGAGCAGATATTTCACAAATAGTCCGAACATTTTATATCATGCTCACAGTTCGTTGGGCAGAGTGTTGAATTAATAGTTGATATTCTTTCATCGCTTTACTCTGCCTATACATTTTTTTAATCTTCATCCTGATGTTCATCTTATCGCTTGTAATCTGCTTATCATTCCCACACATTCTTTTATTCTGATAGAGGTCTCCTTGTCACTGTCATATCGCAATCGGTCGTGTTTGCTCTATAATTCTAACAAGGAGACCGCATTTTGATAAAATAATTTACCACGATAACACCCTACTAGTATACTACTAATATATCAAAGCTCGTTAAAATCCGTGAGGGCACAACCGTAGTAAGGTCTCCTTGTAAGTACCACAGTTCTTTACCTTACTCCAACAAATATAATTACCGACTAAGGGATTTATTGTCTTAATAAAAAAAACATTTTTTAATTTACTTGTCAATATACATTGAGCTTCGCCCTCTAGACATTTTGTATAATGATCGGACATTTCATAGTTTGAGCGACACTTATTAACAGTGTTTTTTACAATGTCTTTTCGAATGGATAATAATTCTATACAGTACCCAGTCATTTTACAAAACGTTCACGTTAAACGCATTGACAATAACATAGTATATAATGTATATGTATGTATCCGCGCGCGCGACGGCCAGCGCTCGTGATTATTTTCTTTTATTTGTAACGTTTATTGTCGATTATTTCTCTGCTTCTCTATCGTCGTTTTATTGTCACCGAGTAATTTCTACTCGTAAGGAATATCGAATGCTCGCTTTTTTTCGAGCTAATGAAAATATTATAAATATTATATTCGATAGGCGAAACTAGTCGTAAATATTATTTATCTTTCGTCATTGTCATGATTTTTTTGTCGATCCCATAATCCAGTCATAGGCTACTATATCGATTATATTCCATAGCGTACATTTTCAAGCGATTTTTTAATGCTAACAAATGACTTTCAACTGAATAATGTCGTTACGTCTACCGACGTGCACATATTATGATGACGCGATGACGCGTGATCGTGTTTATTTATGTATTCATGTATTCGCGCATATTAATACGCGAAATAAATGAGGGTGCTGAGGTTGGAGAGGAAAGGGGCTGCGAGAATTAAAACGAGACGCCTATAGTATTCGTCGACTAATTTACATCCTCTCTATACGTGCGGTAATACGACGTTTTTCTTTCCGCAAAGAGTATTACAACAAACCTTCAATTCACGAAAGTGCACAGTGCAGATACATTTTATGTTTAATTATATATGTTTATGGATGATATATATATATATATAATATATTTATTTTTATCCACATGTAGGCTCGACATATGTTGCTGTGAAAGCGAGAAAGAGAGAGAGAGAGAGAGAGAGATGACAACAATACTCGCTTTAGAATATTCAATAGACCCTCTGACAAGTTTGCAAATTGTGCCTTTGGCAAGAATAAGGATTATTATTCGTTCGGCGCAAAGAGAGAGAATACTAAATAACGGGATAGTCCGATAGTCGAAAATTTTCTATGTACAGGTGTATATATAGAACTCTAAAGTCGATTCTCTTAAGCTATATCAATGCACTCGTTTAACGAGCATTGCACTTGCGCTATATATTATATCTTAAAACGATAGAAATATATAATTCGATACTACGTCCAAGCCCTTCTCAGCATCGTAAGATATTAATATAAGTTTTTTTTATTATCTTTGTTTTCTTATTAAGTACACAGTGACTTATAACATCCTGCAAATTTAACGACAAGATATGTTTGCCCAAAGAGATCATTATTTTTGTTTGTTTTTGTTTTTTGGTATTTCCGCTCGACCAAGGCAGTAGGAAAAATCTCTCTCTCGATCGAGGGTACATTTATTTCGATAAATCCGTGATATGTATTTGCTTCGAGTTGTTGCTGTTGTTCACTGTGCCTGCACCGAATTACGCGCGATACGTCCGATTTATCACAAAATCGTTCGAAATTTATAATAAGATCTATTCGAATGGTTTTGCAATTAGTCGGAGGCAACTCTCTATAAGAAATGTTACCATCGTTTAAAGCTGACTTCAACAAGATCAAATCGATTCTAGCTTTGTCTACGAAAAGCACCGTCTAGTGTATGTGTGATTTTGACATATTTATTCGATATACGCGGAATCGTTAATCGCGCTTCACGGACTTTTTTCCATTTTCGTTAGAATCTTGGATGTGGCAAGAGGAGGATATGACTCATATACTTGGATATACATACTATAGGATATAGAAATGATTATGGAAGTTCTATTTGACGATCGCAAGGTGAAAGACAACAACGATATGTTCTATCGTGTTAGTCGAGTATAATAAGGAGCATAAAAATCCCTTAATCTTCTTATCTCGCGCAATGCAAACTAAAAAATATCTTTCTCCGCGAAGACTAGGCCTTTTGATCACGATCGCAGATATTTTTCTGCGTAAGAGCGTCGCCTCGGTCGTACTACAGGTAAATTCTTTCGTCGAATTTTCGCGACAGCTAACATTTTTTTTTTTTTTTATTTCCTCTTCTTATTCTTCTTTTTCTACATACTATATAAAAATATCAAATACAGATATCATTCCCACGAGATTTGTTTTGTTCTTTTAGAAACCCACCATATTCTCTCGTTTGCCTCGCTGATTAAGCGAGGTAACCATTGCACCTTGAATCCTTAATTCACAAGAGTTGACAAAATCTTATAAAAATATGATATCATTAAATGGCAGCTATAAACGTAGGTAAACTTTTCGAAGAAATGAAACGTTAGGCTTCGTCGACGTTTACTCTTTCTCTCCCACCTTTTCTTTATAATAGAATGAAAATTATACTTTGAAGAGATAACTCGTATATGCTTACGTGGCTCGTTACCTACATATATACCGTCAAAACTTTACTCAAAATTGAGTTTCAAGTCAATTTCCAATTGTAAACCTAGAGATCAAATGAATTTGGCAACGGGCGATGATAATAATATTTATTATATTATATTGTAGATAGAGATTTTCTTTAGCATTTTTTTCTTTTTACCAGCCTCGTGCAAATACGTAAATCTGTACACGTACGTGGGCGTATTTTATATACGTAGATAATATGTGACGTACAATACTTCGATATGCGATATATAATATGGTATGTACGTGTATATGTATATATAAGAAAGATAATAAGTATGCGCGTGTATACAGACGTATCTAAAGATATTGTCGTAATTTAGTCATTGACTCGTACAATCGAGTCGTTAGGATGAGACCCGAGCATCTCGACGAGCAACGACGCTTGCCTTTTTGCACCTTTGTGTCCTTAATATTTTAATCTAATTAAGCCAGGCAACGCGAATCGCGTCTCATTCTAATACGCTAAAATCTCTTTTCTGGTACAAATTGATTGTAAATAGAAAGATTTTTCTTCATTTTGATTTCGATATTAACAATAATCGAGTCGCGTCCGATTGGAGAAAAGAAAAATATGAATTTTATGCGAATCCTACAAATCGTATGTATAATACATACATATGTACGTCAGTCGTTTCCCTTTGACAAGAAGAAAAAGACTATAATAAAAAAAATCGATTATTGATCTAATTATCTATCATTTATATACACGTAGTAAGTGAGACGAGATTTTCGAGTATCATCGTCTCGGCGTTAATATTGTCGCGTTTTTTCTTTTCTTTTTATTCCTTTTTTTTTTTTCCTCAAGAAAGGCACGATGCATGGAAGTTCTGCCTTTTGTTCTAGCGCAAATCACTTTAGAAATAATACCTATAATACCTATAATATAATGTCATTTTTCCTTTCGAAAATATAGAAAGTAATCCTATAGGAAAATAATATAAAATATTAGATCAGATGTTTCTTTCTTAAATCACAAATAACAAGTCTTGTAATAAATAAAAGCTAATGTGTCCTTTCCAAAGGTTCTACACTCTCTCTCGTAGTGCACCTGTCCCGGCTTGTAATGGCCACCCCGAGGATATCTTTCCATCCTCGCAAGATTTCTACAAAATTTCAAATAATCGTCTTCGAGGAAAGGATCCACCCTCTCGTCCGGTTCTGGCATTCTCCTTTGACGATAAACGTCGTCGACCGGTGGTCCGATGTCCTCCTCCCTCCAAGTTGTTCTTCGCGTTCTCGTTTTCGGGAATGAGCTAGAATTTCCTATTCTCTCCTCGACCTCGAAATCCGTTAAATCCTGCAGACTCTTCGGGTATCCGCGTAGCTCCTCCAGGGAGTTATAAGCTTGATCCTTGAAATTAATGGTCCTGCTACGTCTCGGAATAGTGGAACAGTAAGAAGGTAGTCTTTCGGGTCTCTCGTAACCGACGCCATTTCTCAGGATCGGCTTAGCACCGTTTACGTTTCTCCTCGGATCCTCGTATTCTCTCCGATAATTTCGTCTTTTCGGTCTGCTCGGTTCGTCTTTTCGGTCTGACGTGCGACGAACGCGATCGTTTCTAACCGTCGTTATACCTTGGTAATATCGATCCTGTTCGTAGATTCTCGTGGAATCCCTCGTCTCGTGAACTACCTTGTTCAGGTTCCCGTTGATTCTAATCGAGGATAGAAGATTGTTGTTAGCGATTGTTGTTTGCCTGGATGCTGGTAAAAATCCACGAGATTGCATGAAACTCCCGACGTTTTTGCCTATTCTGTTGGTCTTTTCGGCGAAGATGCCGCAATACTCGGACAAGGAACGATGACTAGGCCTGGCCAATTCCCCGCGAACAGAGTTAGCCGTAGATGGCCCGGCCGAAGAAGAGATACCAACTTGATCGGGCCTGTATATCTCTCGAGGATCGTGCTCGTTCGGATAAGCACCGCTCGGTAAAGGCTTATTTGCCTTCTCGAGATTCGACAAACCTCCCGTCAAGGAGGCCTTATACTACCGTGCCTGCGCGTACTCCGGATTCATTTCGTCCAATTGTTTCCCTTTCGTTTCGGGCACGCAATATACCACGAAACAAAGTCCGCAGACCGCCATTCCCGCGTAGAACCAAAACGCTCCGTGTAATCCGAATATCTGATAATAGAAAGAAGAAAATAATGATATGAGTTATTGTTAATGACTTGTGGCTTAAGAAAGACCGGGGGCAAAGACTCACTTGCTGAAAATCCATAAAGAGTTTGATGCCGCAGAAGGCGCAGAAGTAACTGAAGCTGGTGCTGATGCTAGAACCGATACCGCGATACTCCAATGGGAAAAGTTCGCCAATCAATAGCCAGGAAATTGGCGATATGCCCAGGGCTAGGGCGGTCGTGAAGACCAGTACACAGAGCAACGGTATCCAGTCGTGTTCGCCAGTAGGTACCGCAGAATCCGAGTAACCGAGATTTTGCGTTTGGGACACGTAATAGGCGTAACTACCAAAACCAGCCAACGCTAACGACATGAGAACGGTACTGGCAATCAGGAGCGGTAATCTACCCACGACGTCGATTAGGAAACCCGACAACAAGGATGCCAATAACTGGACGAATCCGATCGCTATAGTTGCCCCGTGAGGATTCATTCCGCCCAAGGTTTGACGAAATATTATAACGGCGTAGTAATTGAACGCATTGGCTCCGGAGAATCTCTGGAAGAACATGAGTCCGCAAGTTATGGCGATTGGCTTGTAAAGTCGTGGCGTCAGAATGCTGCTCCTTAACGTCAATCCATATTGCTTCGCTCTCGAGGCCAGTATGTTCGTTTTGATCACCTAAGAAACATATATTTCTAAAATTAAAAAATATTTCTAAAATTCCCATCCCCCCGCCCCCCCCACTCCCGGTTTTACCGAGCTACGTAATAAATCTTTTTTTCCTATAGGAGCAATCGTAAAGCAGCTTAATAATATTTATATTTGCTAAAGGAGAAAAAAAGACTCGGAGAAAAGTACGCGACTCGAAATATAAATCTTCCCCCTGCGGTTATAAATCTTTACGCGCGTAACTACCTGCTCCGATGAGATAGAGTACGTGGGTAGAAGAACCATTTTACGGCGAATCGGGAGGGAAAATAACTTTTTAAAGATCATCCCCTTTTGTGGTGGCTATATAAGTAAATCGATGTAAAGAAGATTTGAAAAGGCACCTGTAGCTCGTGTCTTATGTCCACTTGTTCGCCTCGTAACCATTGCAAGCTGCTCGCGGCTTCCTCGTCCTTTCCATTCAAAACGAGATAGGACGGTGTTTCGGGTATAAAGAGAGTTCCCAAAAAGAGCATAGACGGTGCTACGGCAACTAGAAGAGCACTCTGTCGCCAGTTCAAATACGTTCCAGCTATGTAAGAGAGCAAGACGCCAACGTGACCCAGCACCTTTAACATCGCCGACAGGCACCCTCTGATGCCTGGCATCGAGATTTCCGAGATGTATACCTAATAACGAACAAACAAAAACCTCAAACCTTCCTTCATTCTTTAACCATGTTTCGCTAACAATAAGTATAATATCGACAAACGATCGATCGCTTACTTGGGCGACCATGGTGATAATGGAACAGCACAGTCCACCGATAAAACTCGTCAAATATACGACTTCCACGCTAGGTGCGACTCCCGTAAGAATCCATGCGGCAGTCAATGGTAAAGATGTCACTCGTAGAGCTAAACGTCGGCCTTTTCTCATTATCCAATTACCGATCATGGCCCCGCACCATGCACCCAACATCGACAAGGATGCGACCCATGAAGCCTCCTGCGACGTCACTGAGAAAACCGCCCTGCGAAAAGTCGAAATAAGTTTTCATTAACTCTCTCTCTCTCTCTCTCTCTCTCTCTTTTACACGCGTCAACAACGATAACAGAATCGAACGGTTTTATCTGGTAATTTGAGTAAAGCCTATTCGAAAGCCTCACAACGGCAAAGCAAACTTTCCAAATGAGTGTTGCACCAGACCCGACTAATTCCGTTTCGTAGAAAACACTATTTCCCTATAAAAGCTCCATTTCCGATAGAAAAATAGGGAAATTATTCGTTGAATCGTATCGACCAGATAGTACGCGTGTTTCTACGCGTACACGAATGCGCCATTAAGTGCACAAGTGACAGCGCCAGTCAAACTGATATTTATGCCAATAACACGCGGCGAATGTGGTCCATCGGATCCACGTACACGGATATACCTATAAACTACCTTTATATACATATATAATATATGTGTATAAAGCAGGAGTATTGATACGCACGCGTAGACGAAATATTACCATCTAGAGCGACTCGACAAACATTCGTACGTTTAGATTTTCGTCCTTCTGTTGCTGATTAAAAAGAGTATCCTGTTTAAAGGTATGCGTGAGCTTTCTTTCCCCACAGTAAAGATCTGTCTAAAGTAAAATTAGGACGAAGCTTTTCCAACGATGCCAGTATACACAGATGCCTCGATCTCTCGTAATGCGTTAGCGGAAAATCTTTCAAGGAACATGCAACAATTATATCACGAATCTCGTTTGCATTAGAAAGAATGAGAAAGGGAGTAACACTTTAAAAGATAAAAATGAAAGAAAAGAAAAAAAAAATGGAAATATTGTAAGATCTTTATCGCGATATAATCAACTTTCTAAAAGTCCTTTTGTCGTCATGAAGAATGATGTATAGAGGGTGGGTGGAGTTGGGAGGGGCGGTCGGCGAATAACTGAGCAGGATAAATAATACACTTGCGGATGCGACATGTATCGGGATGTGTCGGGTCATACTCTTAGAAAATCTGTGTCGCATTCTTATGATAATGCCCCTTGAAAAAATATTTGAATGAACGACTCCGACCGGTTGGCCCATTCTAACTGGTGGCAAGAAGTGCTTCTTTGGTGGTAGGGATAAGAGTAATAATTAGACTCGAAGAAAATGTTCCGCAAGGAACGAGACACGTTCGTTAATGAATTTTACATTAACTAGCGACTGACTTACCACGTATCGTTGTTAGAGGATTGATAGAGAGTAGGCGGTTGTTTATCCAAGATTGAATCCAATGCAGGCGAGGTGTAGCCTTTTGCCAAGCCAGAGGACAACGTTCCCATGGAAAGAGCCAGGGTCGCCAAAACCTTCCAGACAGAAAATGACGAAGCTATTAATAGCCGTGGAAAAAAAAAGAAAGAATATAAATAAAATGGAGTGAGTGTGTAATCGTTTCACGTACTACGTTTTCTTTCCCAATGGAAATTCGATCGTCGTTGCTATTCACAACGGAGGACTGGTGCAACGCGTATAACGACGTATAACGACGCATAAACGACGCACAACCCTGACGCACAACCCTGACGCATAAAGGACGCATGCAACTTGCGTTGTCGCTTATACGCGTCTCTACTATTCCTCTTTTTAAACTCGATTTACTTATTCCCTGTATCTCCGAGGCTTAGTCAATTCGTATTAATCAGGGGCGTAGATAGTAACAATGGATGCAGAGTCATTCTTCGGCGTAGACAATTACTCGACGACGACGCATATACTTGATACGTTCCTTCCCAATGCCCTTTGCAATGCGACGTCGTACTTGTTAATCTTCTCCTTCCTTCGGATTGTATAATAAAGCAACGTCATCGAAGAAGAGAGAAGGATTGGTTGCTTTAGACATTTCTAACGAAGAAACTCGGAACAAGCTAGTCCTTTCGTTTGTCGTCGAAATGCTTCGCAATGTAGAAATCGAAGTCAAAGGGCTCATTTTTATTCAAAGCCGCGTTAACAATGTAAATATTCTTGAAAATGATGCATAACTATTTATAGGAAGGAAAAATACACTTTCTATCTATCTACGTAGGTGAATTTGTATTGCTGGGAATTACAACCGGCTCCGGACAAATTGCTGGCCGCAAATTGAAATCCAAGCTCGCGAATTCTCCCAAGGAATACTAAACATTTGCCGTGGACTTCGTGCTTATGCAGTTACGTAGGACACGACCAAAATGCACTTTGCACCACGTTCGCCGAGAAATTTTTCTTTAAAGTACTACGAGTTAAAGTCTCTTTTATATATTAATGGTATCCCCTTTTATCATTGGAAGACAGTGCAACGAGATGAGAACACCGGGCTCTCGAAAATCTGTTTGGATTTCTCGCGTTAGAGTGGAACAGGTGATAATAACCGGATCGAGTTGCATGCACGACCTTAGACCCTCGACTAACCTTTCTCCTCTTCTCGCCAGATTCGCAACGATAGCTTCTCTCTCTCTCTCTCTCTCTCTCTCTCTCTCTCTCTCTCTCTCTCTCTCTCCCTCTCTTTCTCTCCTTGCCCTTTCGAGCTAAATCGTGTGATGTAATTCGTTCGCTATTCGATGTCTCATCTTCGTTTAATAAACCACTCTAATGTATTTTTATTTAAGCACTTACGTAAAGTTGAAAAGTACACAATTCATATTCCTTATGTGAAGCTCGTAAATGAACACGGATTATTCAACGGGATAATGGACGTTCGCGTAATTTCTTTCTTGCACCGTAATTGTAAATATTCCTGTCTAGCGCGTGATAATATTACAAGTATTATATATACTTTAGTCGAGTATAAAAGAGAGATAGAGAATAACTTTAAGACGAAAGAACCACCAGCGTACCGTAATAAAATACTTGAACGAAAATAAAATGCACCTACGAGAGTTTTCGTTCCATAACTCGAAAATGCAACACTCCGGAATTGCAATGAAAGTACTTTACCAAGTCTTCCTTTTTATAATATACAATTATTAAGTAACCCATGTGCAAACGTATATACATTATTTCTAACATTTTGATATAATATTATTATTCAGAGATAGAAAGGAATCGGAGAAGGAATCGGAGAAGGAATCGGAGAAGGAATCGAAAGATCGTATTTATTAACGATTTGGACGCGATCGATAAGCGATAAGAAGATTAACGATCGATTCGTGCCTACGCATCATTGTTCTTACAAAGCTCGAAAGTAAAGGTTGGAGTACGGTCGGGGAAGAAAAAATATATCGTAATACGTATTGTTGTAACATTGTTCTTGCTTCCCAGAGAGAATAATCTCGATCTAGATTATTCTTATGCAAATTGAAAACCGATTCTTTTTCTAGGTCAAGGTCCGATCATATATTTTATGCAGCGTAGGTTGTTATTTGTACTGACCCTTTCGATTAAGTATAATAACAAAGTATATTTTTCGTTTCTCTTAATGCAATATTCCTACGTATCTATATATTATCTGGAATAAAACGAAAAATAGAAAAAGAAATATAAATCATCTTTTATGCGTGGTCGAATTCGAATGATAAAAAACATTTGGAAACGGAGAAGGAAGATAAAGAAGAGTGTTGTCTGGCACGAAGAAAAAGATGCACACTTTCAAATCCCTTTCGAGTTCGACGCTTCGATGCACTCATACGCGTATGTATACATGCATGTAGACTTCTATGCGCGCGTGCTACTATACTCCGAGAGGAGGTGTGAAATATTGACAGAATTTTGATAACAGGTGCGATCGACGTTGACTTTATGAATTGCCACGGAAACTTGGTTAGAAAAAATTACTAGCCAGCACGTTCGCTGCTTTTCTCTCTCTCTCCCTATTCGAGTTATTTTCATGAAAAAAGTTTCGAGAACACGTACGTACGTACAAAGGATTCGAGAGGGAAGAAAAATGTAAAAAAGCGTTGTGTTCGCATACTCGTGCTTTCTCGCACGGGAGAAACCGGAACGAGAAATCGTTGGGTCGTTAGTCCTAGGCGAACGTTTTAAAAGGCAACAGAACAAAAAATTGGAAAGAACGTTAAACGATTTTCCGTGTGGTAGATAAAACGTTGGGCAAAAAGTTATGCGTCCGACATTCGGTTCCTTCTTCCGTGGAAGAAAGCAAATCCTCGTTTCATACGTTTCTCTCTGACCGTGCGTCGCCAGTCGTTTCTTCTTATGCTGCACAGCTGAACGTTAAAAGCTCGTTTTCCATGGAGTCGAGCCAATGCACTCCTCGGTGCACTCTCTCGGTGCACTTTCCAAGTGCAAGGATGTTCTTAGATCAAATCCAACTAAGCTAATAGCTAAGCTATTAACTCACAGACGCATTAACTCACGTCAAAGTCATCGTTTAACAAATATGTCAAATATTGGTAATAGTACAATATGTAATATTAAGCTTAACCAAATGTTCGTGCATAATGGATCATTTTATGTAACATTTACATCAATAATTAATTTATAATAATATTTAAAAATATAAATAATATTGTTTCGATGGAAGAAATAATAAAATAGACAAGCCGGAAATATCGATCAATAGAAAAATTCGCTCATGTAGTCGAGGCGTTGAATTTATTAACTAAGAGTCCAGGAAGAGGTGGTTCTACAAATTCTTATACATCCTCAGAGATTACCGAGCAACGTGAGACAAAGTCTAAACGATATGGTTGGTAGTCGTCGACCAGTCCGTGGCCTTCGTTCACAAAAGAACGCCCAGGCTACTCGATATGCATTTTAAGCCGAACCACTCAATTAAGCTCCGCTATCCCTTCCTCGTATTTGCATATCAATATGGCCGAGTGCCAAGAAAGTAAGCTTCCCTCTAGGTAGGACCCCATTCGAATTATTCGAAAAATCCTCGAACGTGCGATTAAAATGAAACTCATTCTCTCTCTTCTTCAAAATACACCACGGAAAAAGTTAAAGAGAGCAGAGTTTCGATGAAATTTGTCTCTCTTCGATCTTACATTAAACAAGGCTTTTTTTCCAACTTAAAATTTGATTCTCGAGAGAGATATAAATTCATCGGAACTAGGATACTTGAGACGCTAATATATGAGAAAATACACGACGTTCTTACGTTAGGTCTCTCTGTGTGTCGATGAATCACGTTAAAGTACGATCGACCGATTTAACTTTCCGATAATAGATCTCTGCAAAGATCCCATTCAGTGGTAGACCTGCTTACGCAAGTCCATGTCAACGGACAAGATCGTAGTCGTAAGGTCTCGTGCGATCTTTCGAAATTTTACCCACGCGATTCAAATAGAAGAAAAGAAAAAAGCAATCTTGGGTAAGATAACGCGGAACAACAATTTCAAGATCTTTCAACGAACTAACCAGAAATGGTATTGTCATTTTTCTAAGATTCATTCTTATCTCTCTACTCGTGCCCTTTCTACTTCGTGCAAAGTTACAATCGGTCGTTGTAACATGTGTGTGTGTGTGTGTGTGTGAAAAGAATGAAATAAGAAAAAGAATAAGAAGAGAAAAGTCGCGAATAATCCATGCAAGCTAATTTTCCTCTTCGTTTGTCCACTTAGAAAAATTGTTTGAAGTAAAAGGTATACCTTTATTTATGCAACCCTTTTTGCGTTAGAATCTCTTGGAGAATGTTAAAAGGTAGAAAGAGAGGAAGGAAAGTTTAACAAGTAGCCGTAGGTTATGCGACGTTCCATTGTGATTGCATAAAGTCTTAGAATGTATGCACGTATCTCTTGTATAAATTGAATAAACGCGTTAGTACCTGCGACATGTGCTGCGGTTTCGTTGCAGTCGACGTCATATGTACCACGGAAGCTCTGGGCATTTTAAAGCTGTCCTCGGCTTCGTCCGGTACCGTTGTCACCTAAAATTTCAAAAGATTCTATTTCAATATCATCTCTCTCAAATGTTTTACAATTTTCTTTTTTTTTTTTTTTTCTTATTTCTCTTTTTATTTTGTCTTGATAATATAATGGAATGAAAATGCAAGGATCTTTGAAGGAACTCCTCGCCATTTACATTTGTACTTTGCGAGAGCTTTTTTTTTTAAAAGGATCAGTCATCTTTGAAGAAAAAAAAAGATCCCTTTCGCTCAAAGGAACTTTCTTCTATTCTTCCTTCGGAAAGAAAAATCTTTTCTTAGGTGGATACTTTTATCAGACATTCTCTCACTCTTTGTATCTCTTTCCCCAACTCTCTATATCGTAGAGAAATACCTCGAACATCATCCCGTAGCTCTCTCTTTTCCATCCACCGAAAATAGAAATTATTAGAAAGCCTATGCTAGGTGCTTAGAAGACTACTAGTATGCTCGGCCATTCGTATTATCTTCCTTTTCGTAGAACACAGTCCAGACCGATAGCGAGTAAAAAAGGACTCTCCCAGTTGTCTGTTGCTATTATCGTAACACTCTCTCCTAAATTCTATCTTGTTCTCATTTGCCTATCTATAGAAAGAAAAAAATAAATGTTAGGAATTATTTATAGGCAAGAAATAAAAGGAAAAAACTAAACCCCCCCCCCCCCTCCCCGATGATTCGACCGATTACGAGTGAAGACCACTCGTTCGATGTTTCGCGATATAATTTCCTACTTTCCTTGTAAAGTTAGCATAGCAATAGTAACGCCTCGTGGCCCGAGACATTATCGGTTTAAGTTTGAAAATAGGGTTTATCTAAATCGTTCCACACGCCGGTCTACGTTGTTTTATTTACGTCTTCGAACGAAACTTCAAACCAACGAACTTTGTCCGATCATATGATATAACGTATGTATATGCCGAGTTCTCTCTCGACGATAACGCGTACGGGTATCCGTTGAATTATGCTAACAGTCGTTCGGCCTGTCGTACCGTTCACGCCTTTCGTGATTTACGAGAGACTGGTTTGGTCTACTCTGACAAAATTTCCCTTTGCTTCCGTGGTATACTGCCGAGCGAAAACGTTCGTTTGCTTAGTAAACGTAGTAACGCGGCAAATCTTTTCAAATCCCAGATACGAAACATTTACTCGTTCGTTATTCAAGCAGATTTCTTCGGATGAGATAACGCGCATATGTTGGGGAAGAGGGGGGGGGACCTGTATTTATTAAGAGAGCACATTTTTCCTCGGCGTTTACATCTTTCGTACTTTTCACTCGCGTAGAATTTTATTTTTCGATGATACGGGATGATGAGATACGTGCACGACACGCGACATCAGAAAGATCCGATTTTCAATAACCGACAAGATGGTAGATAAGCTGTGGGGGAGGTCTATCTCAGATGCGATTTCTCACGTTTTCTCTTTTCCCGCATCATCCGCCAACTTTCCTTTTCCTTCTACCCCTAGCTACTAGCCCGTTTCCCCCTTCCTGCTTGTCTTCCTTTCCACTCCTGGGATTTATCTTTCTACGTTGCAAGAGGTTTTCCAGAGCTCCGCCGACGACCCGGCAAAACGTAGTAGCAAAATCAATATCTGCAAACGCTAGGGAATTCTGACAAGGTCGATCGATTCTAAAGGAAATTACAAACAGCTGATTCTAACTCGCTACGCGTTATCTATACTTCTAGGTAGGTATACTTTGGTCTGGAAATGAGTGTAAATATGGTTGGATGTTATCGCGTTAGTCGTTCAGAGATTCCTTTTTCAAAGCAGAAGGTATAACGTTACAGATCCCCTGTCAAACAGTTAATACCTAAATAGATAGACACACACAGCATATATACACGAGTATGTGTACATTAGCTTGCGAACGAATATAGAGATACCTTGATAAACGTATTGTTTTCCTTAGTCATTAACCCTAAGAAAACATTAAATATATGGCTGGAATGATCGCTTAATAACAATTTTCAACAGAGATTTAATAAGAGATATTTGCTCCCGGCAAAAAGCAAAGAGAAGAAACGCGTCAGAGTTTTAAGTCGTGTACGCTTGTTAAATGTACCTTTATGTAATTATTATCGATTTTAACGATAAATATTCGCTTTCACGCGCGAATAAAGGATAAAACGATTTCTCTCTATTCGCGTTTTAATCTGATTTTCGGGAGGACTCTACTAAAAAAAAAAAGAGAAAAAGAGAGAGAGAGAATGAGTCGATCCCTCTCTCGTTAAAACAATTTCGAAAGAAATTCAATTTCAGAAACTTATCCGCGTTATTTTTTTTCAATGAAACTTGCAATTTATAATTTGTCATTAGTCAGTATCGATTTATTTCAAGCACGTATGCATACGTATATATACATATATACTTAGGTAGGAGTCAACAAACTCGTTACAATGTTACGTCATTGTTGTTTAAAACGTTTCATTCTCTTCTATCCGGTGTTTAAAGCAACTAGAGTTAGCAAAACGCTAGAATAAAACGTATATTTCGAGAACGAGATCTTCATAGACGCCGACTATGAAAATCATAAATTTGGAATAGAGTATATGTAACGGATACTTATCTATGTGTGAAGATATGTGTGTGGCGTCTGTATATTTAAATCTTAAGAGGGTTCGTTAAACGTAGAAACGCTCTTATTACGTAAAAATAATCAGGTCGAGAGATTGCAAAGTGTATATGTATGTACTGCTGCTATGTACGATAGGTTAGTAGGAGATAACTCTCGGCACTCTCATTCTTTTTTCTTTTCCTTTTTTTCTCTTTCTCTCTTTTTTTTTTTTTTTTACTCCATGTAGACGAGAAGCGCTTGTCTCTGCATGTAAAGCGTGCGATATATCGGCCGTGATGTAAACGCCAGATATTCTCTCTCTAACTCTCTCATTCGGTCCATGCGCAGCATTCACCGCCAGAAACCAGAGAGAGATTACAATAACATTGCGAGAAAGCTTCATAGTTATTTAAACGCACCGAAAGAGAAGAGTTTTTAACATTACTTTCGATTATTTCGATATTAGCTCGAATAAAAGAGAGCAATAAGATAAGCGCGCTTACTTCGTCTGGCATTTCATTTAAATAGCAACCGTTTCGAACGAAACGAACCTTAGGATAATAATCGTAAAAACTCGTCGGATACAATACTGTTCTACCGTCTAATAAGAGAACGAAAAATTGGTGGAGGGAGAGATGGGAAAGAGGGAGGTAAGCATATATCGTATTCGTAAATTTTCTTATCCCTCTAACCCTATGCGTTGTACCCATTACGATTGCATCGTCTTTGCCTTTGCCTTTGTCTTTGGCTTTGTCTTTGTCGTCGTTGTCTTCTTCTTCTTCTTCTTCTTCTTCTTCTTCTTCTTCTTCTTCTTCGTCGTCCAGACTGATTCACGCCAGGCAATTATGCGAAATTACGATGGAATTGCAGAACAGGACAGACTCACGATTGTATTTGCTCTCTCGTGCCGTGTTCCGTTTGCTCGCCTGCCGTGTGCATTTACTTTCTCTCTCTGATACAAACACGCACGCAAACTCCTCCTCCCTCTTTCAGAATTCGTTCATCGTCGTTTTTATCTCCGTTGATGAGCTCCGACCGAATCGTTAGTTTAGCAATTATAAAACGCTCAATAATCGTTACTACTCTCGCAATTACAGAGAGAGAGAGAGAGAGAGAGAGAGAGAGAGAGAGAGAGAGAGAGAGAGAGAGAGACAGTTGACGCTTTTCAGAAAGACAAACACTGCGTCCGTAATTCTGTCTCGCGGTTTCATTTAAATCGCGATTAAGTCGGCCGTCGGTCGGTCGGTCTCTCTCTCTCTCTCCCCCCTCCCCTTGCCCATATAACGCGCTCGGATTAATTAAGTCGATATTATGCAGACTCTCCTCGAGTATTATGACCCTCGGCTATTCCGATTACGTTACATAGTTGGCAACATTACGTCGTTGGATAGTCAGACTAATAGCATTAAAGTAATAATAACAGATGAATAAAGAAATAAAACGATATCACGGAGGGTGATATTCCGTTCGTTCTTTTAGCTTTGACCTTCTTTTTTTCTTTTCGTTTTCCTTTTTTTTATCAAAAAACAAGACGAAAAAATTAGGTTAAAGTTAAGGAGAAAGATATAACATAGGCGATCTTTGAACGATTAATAATAATACTAGAAGGTATAGGTAGAAATCGAGTGGTGGTTAATATCGGTAAACGGTGGTCGTCCGTTCGTCTTCTTCCTCGATATTTTTCATTCTCCGAATGCTTCTTCTTCTTCCTTCTTCTTCTTCCTTCTTCTTCTCATCGAGCTTCTTTATCGACTTTTACGACGAGAACTTCCAAGAACGGATTTCATTAGCGAAAGAGGCTCGTGGGAGGGGGGAGGGCTGGGGGTCTGTGTGCCTGTGTAATACAAAAAAAAATGCTGAGCCAACAAAAATCGACGTCTCTCCCACGGTTGTCCTTTCCCGATTTCCCTCCCTCCCCCCACCCGCCATCCGCCATCCTCCTCCTTCATTCTCCCTCGTTTCTAGGCTTCTCGATCGCTGAATTTCGGTTAGATACCAGATGGGGGAAAAGAGGGAACACTTTTAATGTTACAGAATGTTCAGATGGGGAGAAAATGTTTGCTGTATTAATCCACGACGTTAATTACCTTCTTAACAAACCAACGACGGTTGATCGTTAATGCATCGGAGAGAATGTACGTGCTGACTGTATTTTCAGTCAAATGAAACAAAAAATCCATGAAAAAAATGGAACGGAACACAAACCGCCCTTACAGTTTCTCGAATATATCACACACTCTATTTCCTTCGTAAACTCGCGTCGTCGTTGCTTTCATCGTTTTTTCTATCTATCTATCTATCTATTTCCCTTAGATACGAAGAAATGTTTTTTTTCTTCCGTGTATATTGTCGACAGCAACCAACCATTTTCCATTCGTCAAAATCATCGGCTCGTGCAGCTTCCTCCTCCTGCCACCCCACCCAATCCCCGCTCCCTCCCTCCCCC